AAAAATGAATAAAAAATGAATAAATAAATATAAAAAATTAAAAAGTTTATAAACAATAAAATATAAAAAAAAAAATTGAAAATTTTTAAATAAAAAACATTTATGGTTTCGGCCTGATATTTTTTATTTCGGTTTTGAAATTTCCATTTCGGTGCACCTCTACTTTTAACACTTTTGGCTCATCACCATTGGAGGTGACACCGCAACTGATATGAAGGTTGTATGGACTAGTCAGTTCTGAAGACTGGGTCAGGGTTAAGGTCAGTGACACCAGCGCACCATACAAATCACAGAGAGTTGAAACACCACATGGCTGCCACAAGCAGGGCCCATTTAACTATTTTGTAAGACCCTAGTGTGTTCTCGAAGGCCAGCACATCCTGTATCTGCAAATAGCTCGTCATGCAGAATAATTTTCATCTCCCTACGACTAATATTTTGGATTTTATTAGCGATGATACTCCCTCTGATCTAAGATGAGTGGTGGTTCCCATACAGTGCAGAGTCTCAGTCTGTAAGGACCTCTTCCTTGCATGGTCTGTGAGGATTCTTTGATGGTTTGTGAGGTGGCCTTTGATAACTCTTCTCTACCGCAGAAGGTGGACTGATCCTTTTAAATAGCATCGCAATGTAATACAGCGTCATGCCGACGTTCAAGAAGCAAAGTTGGACCTTACCTTCATCGCCTCCTCCAGAGCGGGAAGGGCCTCCTCCAGATCTTTCTGTGCATTGTCTGCCAGAGCCTTACACTTTATCCCCTCCGCTCCGATCTTCTCGCTGTTGGCTGTGACGGTCTGTGAGAGGGATGCAAAGCATTGTTAGGACGTAACTGTTAAAGCCCCACTCCGGGGCAAAATCTATAATCAGTAATCTATTAGGTACATCTACTGTATACCGGCAATAGTGTGAGCTCCATTCACCTTCGAGAAGCATCAATCTAGTCACATATGTGATAAAAGTCCTCCTTCAGAGTCTGTGCATTTGATATTTCCCATCCCGGGGACCGGACACTTGTGGCTGTTTTACCTTCAGCAGGATGACCGGTCCCCTCACCGCCCCTCTGTATTTTGATTGGCGATTCTGCTGACCTCAGTGCGTCAGTATGGAAGGGAACAGCGGGCGGTACTACTCTAACAGAGCAGGAACTTCCTTGCCTGTCTCTGCTGATCTCCACCCAGCTCCATGCCCACCCTTGTGCCACCTAACTCTAGTCTGGTTGGCCATTTTGGTGACCTCATCTGGTCAGTGTGGAAGGGAACAGTGGGCAGTACTACTCTAACAGAGCAGGAACTTCCTGCCTGACTCTACTAATCTCCACCCAGCTCCATGCACACCCTTGTGTCATCTAACTCTACTCTGGTTGGCCATTCGGTGACCTCATCTGGTCAGTGTGGAAGGGAACACCGGGCGGTACTATTCTACCAGAGCAGGAACTTCCTTGCCCGTCTCTGCTGATCTCCACCCAGCTCCACGCACAACCTTGTGTCATCTAATTCTAGTCTGGTTGGCCATTTGGAGACCTCATCTGGTCAGTGTGGAAGGGAACACCGGGCGGTACTATTCTAACAGAGCAGGAACATTGTGCCGGTCTATGCTGATCTCCACTCAGCTCCGCCCACCCCTACTTGCATCATCCCATTGGCTCCAGACCTGCCCAATGAATGCCCACATTTGTCACTACAATCCCAATGCATGATGGGATGTGTCTATAATAAGAAATAAAAGCCCGATTGATGGGTTCACAGGTAAATCCATATTTGTTTTTTTACAACGATTTCAGACTGTAGCTCAGAAGCTGCAGGAGGCCGGAGAGAGGTCTGGTACAGACTGACCTTCTGCTGCTCATCGGCCTCTCTCCTCTGCTGGACAATGATGACCAGGTACTCCTCGCACTGCTTCTGGAACTCGGCCACTTTACTCCTGGCGATGGCCAGCTGCTCGGACATCTTCTCCACCTTCTCTCGGGTCTCGTCGATCTTGAAGAGTCCGTTCCGCAACTTGGTGGCCTTGTCTCCCAACTCCGTCCGCTTCTCGTTCAGGAGCCTGAGAGAGAGAGAGAAAAAAAAAGAGACACATATTATAATTTTCCAACAGAATAATAGAGATGTACTGTCCAAAGGTTTAACCACTTCAACTGTAAGACCCCGTTCACATATAGGGACATACCTTTGCAGCGGCCGGGATAGCGCGACTTTCGGGGTGACGTTCCAGCGACGATCCAGCGACAGTAGCGCAACCTTCTCCGTCGGGCTCCATAGAAAAAAGCAAAATCGCGCAAAATCCGCAGAAAAAAGGGCCCGGTAGAAGCGACTTGCGACCGCGACGCGCGACATGGAGTTAAGACAGCTCCATTGAATAGCATTGGCCGGCGACTTCTCGCAATATCGCGCGGCAAAAATGCGCGATATCGCGGCAGAAATCGCGCGGCGACAAGTCGCTATATGTGAACGGGGCCTAAGAGATACGTCCTCAAAAACTTCAACAAAGTTCTTAGGAGACATCTTTTACGTCCAGCTCCTTTCCCAATGCAGCTGCTCCCCCTGCCTCTAATACCAGCAATAACCGGCTGTCAAAATACAGGAGCTCCTGTGTAAAATGACAGCTGCAGATAGTCCATTGAATAATAGAGATTTATTGTCCAAAAGCTTAACCACTTGAAGATTTTGAATGTAAGAGATACGTCCTGAAACACTTTAACAAAGTTCTTAGGAGACATCTTTTACGTCCAGCTCCGCTCCCAATGCAGCTGCCTCTAATACCAGCAATTGCCGGCTGTCAACATACAGCAGCTCCTATGTAAAATGACAGCTGCAGATGGTCTACAAGGGTAGTTGAGCAAATACAATGAATCAATGCATTGGTACGCTGTATTTACTATTTCATTTATATGTAGATCAAAGGAAGCTTCTAAGTAACAACATGTTTTCAAATAAAATGTATTCCTGTTTAACCCCTTATTAACCCATAGTTAACCCCAATCGGCCCGAATTAACTCCTTCCTTCCCTCCTCCCCTTAGTTCATATTTTTCAGTAGATTTTTATATTTGTTTTGACAATAATCATTACATTTTTTTTCCACTTTCATTTGTTTTGTTTGTTATTTTTTTCAGCGTTGCATAAAAAGAAAATGTGCAAACATTGAAAATGACAGGTAGCAGCTAATAGGTTGCTACAGTTTTTCCTTCACTTTTAGAGGCGCTGCCAGGGGCGTATCTGCCGCGAGGCAAACAAGGCGTTTGCCTGGAGCGGCAGATTTGCTGAGAGCGGCACTGACGGAATGACGCGGACGTCGGTCTGACGCTGTGTGATGTCTTGGAATGGTTTATGATGACCATACATGTTACAATTTGAATGTCTAAAATCCTTTGGATCTACAAACAACTGTATAATATGAACACTGTATGACCAGGTACAAGGTACATAGTTCTGGTAAATCTAAAGGAGATTGTTAAACTACATTGTTAAGGTGTCTGTCCAGTTTTAGACACTCTGTGTCATCATTGGAAGGCGTAGGCACGTAGGCACTGTAAATCTGACCATACATGTTACAATTCGATTGTTCGACCCTCTTAAAGTTGAGCATACACTATGCAATCTGACCAATCTCCTTTATATCTACCATCAACTATGGTCTGAGGTAAATCAAAGGGTTTGTTACGGTTTGTCTCTATTGTCCATTGAGGGACACAGCTTGATAATAATTAAGCAACCCAGGGTCATACTGCCGGCAACAGAAGTTATAGGCACTGGGCACATAGGAAGCTGAAGGCCGGCCCCCTTGAGGTTATAACTCCTCCCACCTGCTCAGTTGTTCAATCAAAGGGTTTGTTAAGGTTTGCCTCTATTGTCCATTGAGGGACACAGCTTGATAATAATTAAGCAGCCTAGGATTATACTGCCAGCAACAGGAGGAATAGATGCTAGGCACATAGAAAATGAAGGCCGGCCCCCTTGAGGCTATAACTCCTCCCACCTGCTCAGTTGTTCAATCAAAGGGTTTGTTAAGGTTTGCCTCTATTGGCCATTGAGGGACACAGCTTGATAATAATTAGGCAACCCAGGGTCCTACTGCTGTCAACAGGAGTAATGGAAACTAGGCACATAGAAAATCGAAGGCCGGCCCCCTTGAGGCTATAACTCCTCCCACCTGCTCAGCTGTTCTAACAGTCCAAAGAGAAAATGAGAACATCGGAGGACGGACCTGTGTCCCTCAATGGAATCTGAGATTAGGATATTAAGGTGAGTATAAAAATCCTATTACTCTATTGTCCACTGAGGGACACTAGCTGATGATAATAAACAACCTAGGGACATCCAAGAGCAGTCCAAACCAAGGGGCGGCCACACCAAGCCCAGCAAGAGAAACCAAAGCAAAAGGGGAACCAAGGGCAATAACTAGCTGCTTGCAGAACCTTTTGACCAAAAGTAGTATCTGCCGAAACAGACCCATCAACCTTACAGAACGTAGAAAATGTTATGTACAGAAGACCAGCAAGCTTACAGATCTGGGACACAGAAGCCTGATGATGAATAAAAAAATAGAACACAAGAAGCACTCACTGCTGTAGTGGAGAGAGTTTAACAGGAAACGGAGAGGTAAGGAAAACTGAGCAAGTGGAAGGGGTTATAGCTCCTTGGGGGCTGGCCTTCAGTATTCTATGTGCTTAGTGTCCATTTCTCCTGTATATGGCAGTATAACCCTGTCATAAAGCTGTGTCCATCAGTGGATGATAGAAAGACAGATAAGAATATTTCTGCTGTCTTTTCAGCTCACAGGAAGTGACAACCACACAGCATTCCGGTCAGGATCAACAGGAACTTTCTATTCTTGCGGAAAATGTTCTTAGCTTGAAAACTTATGCAGCCACCACCTCTAAGGACTGGTTAGTTGCAATATATGACATTATTTGTTTTGGGATTTAGATACACTTTACACCTTGTGGCTGCTTGGGAAATGACAGGTAAGCCCAATGAAGTATTGAATTTTCAGACAAGAGCAATGGCCTCCTACAAGTCCAGAGATGAACGGGATAAAGGAAGGACCTACCTCTTGTACCGGGACACTACCTCCAGGTAACTGGTGGGGGTGATGTAGTTATGTCTCCTTAGTTCCAGCTTCATCTTGCGGGAGTACTCTGCTACCGAGCGATGCATGGTGACAAAGATCCTGGCCACCTTCCCATTGATCTGCGGGAGGGGGATAGAGAAGGGAAATTCGGGATAACAGAGAAGAGGTGAATACACATAAGATGGGAGCGCAGCATCCAACAAGGGAAACCAAGACGGGTAAATACAGCACCAGCAGCTCCATTCATTCATTGAGTTAGGCTCACGCACAGATGTTGAATCGGTTCCTCCACCCATGTTAAACAGAGTGGATGGAGGAATCTTCAGTGGTGGCATATGACTGGATGTAGTCACTGTTTGGCCAACAATTCTCCATCCACCTTCTTTGATTTTTTTAGTTGAAGTTTCTCAAGCTAGATGGGGCCAACGGGGCCACCCAGAGCTCATATTTTGGCTGATTCAGCAGGAATCGCCCAAAATTTGAGCCATGTATAGTCAGCTTAAAGTGACATTAAAGGCTATTTTTTCCCCCTCCCCCAATGTTAGTGTAAAGACTTACCTGAAATTATGTCTCTTAATCCGATCATCTTCTTCTTTCCTGTCCTTTTCAGCTGTCCCTCCAGCGCTGGTGCCAGTCTCTGATCCAGCGCTGACTCCTCTGTCCTCCTCTTCGCTCATGTCCCACGGTGTCTGTGCGGGTGCACGCTGCTCCATAGACTTACCTTGTGTCTCTCCTCGTCTCCCGGCCAAACATCTGAACTGCGCATGCGCCTGCCCCAGTATCCTTTGCGGCCGCCCTAGACATTTTCAGATGTTGGGACGGGAGCTCGCGGCGGAGACGTATTAAAGTATTAAACTTTTGCATTTTTATTTTTTATTGTTTTGCATATATCTACTGCTTGCAATCCGTAGATATATGCAAAAACAAATGAGGGTTTAATAACTTTCAGACTCATACATGTAAAACTCACCCCCTCCAAGTTTCCAAGCTCCATCCCTTCCAAATATCTCTCGGCCACCTCCAGCAGAGCTTCCTGTGGCCACTCGGAGAACCAGTCTATGGTGGTGCAGTTGACCAGTGCCGGATACTGGCGGATGCGGTTCCTGTGGAAGACGTGGACATAAATATTGCCGTCTTCATATTGTGGAGATGTGTCAAGTCACACATACAAAATATCTAAAGATACTCGAAGGTTCAAGAAATATATCTCAGATTTATAGTTCAAGCTCTCCAAAGGCGGTACAATCTGATTGTACAAACTCCTTACTGACCAACCAACAACCATGTAGTATGACACTCAAATGCGCGCTCCCCCCCGGCCCTGTGACCTTGTTGACGACCGCTCCAGTTTACTGATGGGTGCTGGTAGGACGGGCTTCCAATCACGTGATCAATGTGACAGCCAATCACTATGACTAAGTCTGTGATTGGGTGAAACTTGTCAGAGGGGGCGGCCCTTGTGTGGGACACCAGTGACGTGGTACAAGTTTTAAAGAAACTATCCCAGTAGAATACGGTGTGCGGCCGGCTTTTCTTCTGTATGAATAGGTTAAAATTGGAACGAGGATGTGTCCCCGGCAGCAAGCACCCAGCTCATTCCTTTCCTGAGCCATGGAGGTGCGGTGTTCTTTTGTGTGTTCCCCTTGCAGCCAATCACAGTGATCACATGATCGGGAAGCCCAGGAAAAAACTTCGGCAGGTGGGCGCTGCTGAGTTATAAACCACAAAAAACGACCTTAATTTCTCCTTACCCATTGACTCCAATGCATCTTGGCGACATTGTTACGTCATGGCTGTGGCTCCATCACCATTGCAGCCTGCAGCAGGTGGTCCCACCCACTCTCACAACCCAGGCGTTTGTAAGTAAGTTGTCCTCACCTGAATGGGTCTCCCACCGGGCTCATACACAGAACGATGTGAAGATTGTTCCGCACTCTCTCAATCAAGAAGTTAAAGAGGCTCTCCGGAGTGTCCGGGATACCCTCCTCCTTAGCCTGCTCTTGTAGAATGCTCCGGATCTATAGGGTGATGGATGAGAGGGATTAGCTAGCACTGTGCATAATAAACCATCAACATTTTTAAATAAAATATTCCAGCAACTGCTGCATGTCAGATATCAGGACAGGTTTTCCGACAGTGACCACAGTAGATGATTCTTGCGCAATGTGTGTCAGCAGAGCTGCTTGCAGTCTTTGCCGGGGCTGCATGTAACAGGGTGGCAACGCAGAAGCACATATGGGGAACAGGGACAGAGCGTTGTTACCCTATAAAAGGAAGTGTCTAAATGAAGACTTTCATAGCAGGATCACCAGGGGTTATTTTAGATCTATAGAGGTTGAATACGACTTTTGAAATGAGAATAACGTTGAAGCTTCGAAGAGATTTTAGTAATCAAGTTCCCAAAAACCTTAAAGTCGAACTCTGGGCTGGGCAATTTTTTTTTTATATTTGAAAAAAGAACCCCAGTCAGTGTTAAAAATATAAAAGCAGCTGCGGCTGCAATTCTCACCTCCTCCCTGCGGTACCTCTCCTCTGCCACTAGATGTCCCCAGTCTTGTAGGTTGAATGACTCCCAGCTTCATTTAACTTGATAGACTGAGGACATACTGTGAGTGTATGGCGTCATGAACCCTTTGAAGGCACGTCACCACGGCTCCCTATTTATTCACAGTGCACGGATGCAGAAAGTGGCACTGACATCATAACGTTAGTACTGCATTAGTAAGGGTCACCCAGCCCGGAGAAGGGGTCACTATGGTGTTATGTGACCGGGCTGAAGAAATCTGGAATGAGTAAGTAGAAAAAAAGCAAAGAAAACATGCAAGGAGAAAAAGGAAAGGGGGGACTCTGGTGGCATGGGGGCAAAAGGAAAGGGGGTGGGTCTATTTGGGGCTCTGACTGCAATACTCACCTCCTCTCTAGTGGCATGGGGGCAAAGGGAAAGCGGGGAGGTCTATTTGGGGCTCTGACTGCAATACTCACCTCCTTCCTGATGGCATCTTTCACAGCATCTGCTCTCTGCCAGAAAATGTCCTCAGTCTCCCAGGTTAAATAACGCCAAGTGTCATTGAACCCTAAAAACCAAGGACATACTGTGAGTGTAGGGCGTTGTGGAGCCACCCCTGAGGCGGCATCATCATGGGGTCCTGCACTCACAGTTTAATGATGTGTCATCAAGGACCAACCAACGCTGAAGAAGATCAGAAGAGTGCCATTCATGTCCCAAGACTGGCCTGAAGGCTTTGGGCTCAAATAAAGCTGTATTCACCTCTCTACCCCTCCAGCACTCACCTCTCTACCCCTCCACTTTGGCTATGGAATGTCCCTCGGCATTCCCATGGAGGTCAATGGACCTGCATTAGACTTGATGACGTCAATGGTTCTTTGAACCAAATATCGGGTATCTTCTACGGGGCTTTATTTAGGCCCCGTAGAAGAAACAAGCACTTAACCCTTGCAGTGCAGAGGTAGCCCCATTACAAGGGTATGTTTGCGATTGTTCTTCTTTAAAGTGACCCTGGCACAAGTATCCAGCAAAAACTGGCGCAGGCAAGTGAAAGCAGAAGGTGCTTTATGGAAGTTCCTTCTCCAAATATCCTAAGAGCCCACAAACCCCAGCAAGATGTATACAAGCCATTGCCATTGAGCTCGTGCCCTCCATGTGTGGCACCAGACCAGGCGATCACTAGGCATGCTCAAGGTGCTTGCACCATCTCTGACCGATAATGAGAACGCAGGTATTGCAATGACACAGAACAGGAAGAGGCACAACACACAAAGGTACCTCCTCAAACTCATCCGCCTTGTACAGGTTGGGGACCTCTCCGGAGCTCAGGATGTTGTTGACGTCCTCCAGAAAAGACTCGTCTGTGATTTGGGTGTCCGTCAGGAGAAAGACAGAGGGGCGCCCGTCTACGCCGGCCAGACGGTACAGTTTTTTAATGTCTGAGAGAGGAAGAGAAAAGAGCGCGTAGAGAGTTAGTACAAATAAAAAAAGGAGAAAAACACAATGGAAACTAAAGCTGAACTTCAGGCAGATATAAAAAGATTCAAATGAATGCAGTCCTGTATTTTGTCCTAGGGTTACAACCCTGCTCCTCCACAGATACAGTACACTGACTGAGCGTGGTCACCCTAGGACAGGAAGTGACTGACTGGCAGGTTCACCAGCTGAAAATAAAGGGAAAGAAAGTCTGAAAAAATAAAACGAATGCGGCCACCACATCTGAGGACTGGTAAGCTGCAATATATGACATTTGTGTTCGTTGGTTTATATAGACTTTAAAGGAGACCTGTGCTAAGAGAAACCTGGAGGCTTCCACTGCCGGCTTCATTTCCAGATATGCTACCTGCCTGGCAGTAATGATGTTCCAGTTCATTAGGGAGGTAAAGAAATAAGGACAGGTGCTCTTTAAGTTTCCTCAACGTGAGTCAGTCATGTCCCCCCTCACCTTCGCGGAACTCTTGCCTGCGGTATCCACGCGTCACCTCCAACTGGAAGACTTTGTAATCGCAGATATAGGCCGCCAGCCGTGCCAGACTCTGCCGCCCACTACCACCGATGCCGACCAGTAACGTGTTCCCTCGCGGCTGGCCAATCACCCGCACAATTCTGATCACTGCAAAAGGCAAAAGAAGATGAATCCTCTGCTTGGACATCATCATAGGAAATGGGTTTAAACATAGAAGCAGTCCAGGGAGCAATGGTAATGTCCATTGGATGGATACACTGAGTCTAGCAACAAACCGGGGCCTAAAAAACACAGGCGGCCATTTTGTCTCATCATTCACTGTCTTATATAGTTCAAGCACAGCTGTACCTATAACACCATCACTGCTGCTGATTAGACATGTGCGATACATTTCGTTCCGAGTCGAAATTCAGACGACATTTCGGAAATTCAGAGATTCGGATGTATCCGAATTCCAGATATAACGAATGCAAACGAATCTGAATTTCTCATTCCGAAATTCGTTAGCGGTAGTCTGTATGCAATTTCGTTTGTGGACGAAATATCGTTGCAGCAAAGTGACAGAGAATTTTTTTTTATTTTTATAGTCTGCAGAAGAGGAAAAAAAAAAAAGCGTGAGGTTCCCCCCTGATTCATACCAGACCCTTTAGGTCTGGAAGGAATGTTACTTTAGGTCTGGTAGGAATTTGAAGGGGGAAATGGGGGGAAAAAAAGTGGGGACCCCCTTAACATTCCTACCAGACCCTTGATCCGAGCACAGGCCCGGCAGGGTAGGAAAGGGGGTGGCGATCGAGTGCCCCCCTGTGCCTTACCTCGCCACGTGCCCTCGGCATTGGGAGGGTGCCCCCATGCCGATGGGGACAAGGTCCTCTTCCCCACAACCCTGACCTGGTGGTTGTGGGGGTCTGCGGGCAAGGGGGCTTATTTGCATTGGGGTCCTGCTTAATCATTGTGAATGAGTAAGTACCCCTACCCATTCACTAAAAGGGTTAAAAGGCAAAGTAAATAAACACACCGCACTTTTACGCTTTTTTTCCCCCTCTTCTACAGTCTGTAAAAGAAAAATGAAAAAACATTTCTCTAATGTCACTTTGCCGCAACGAAGTTTCATAAAGAGTACCGCTAACGAATTTCGTCTGAATCCGAATCCCAAAACGAATTGACTTTCGGACCCGAAAACCCGAAATAACGCAAAATCCGAATGAAAACGAAACAAAACTATTTTCTTGCCGGTGCACATGTCTGCTGATGATCCGGCTCACTCTGACGAAACCATCACCAATGTGTTGAGTCTTTGTATGGTGGTACATCCTTCTAGGAGAGTGACTTCCCTCCACAGAGGCACAGGTGATCACCAAGGACTCCCCACACGCCTCTCATCGGACCACTGAGAACTTTGGCCCCCACAGATAAACAGTCGCCCCCTCGTTCTGCATTTAGTATTGTGACTGTTGGTATTTAGCACACAGCTCAGGACATACCGTGTTGGATGGCGTCGGTGAACAGGACGAGTTTCTTGGCCGCGGTCCCGGGCTGCCGAGTTTGTTCCTCCAGCTGGTTCATCATGAACTTTTTCAGGGCGCCGAAGTCGGTGATGTCCTCGTACACGGGGGGCTCCCGCATAAAATCGCCTGCAGAACAAAAGGGAGAGAGTGCAAATATAGGGAAGAGGTCATCTTCATCCAAGGCTGTGCCGAGCTGTAGATGAACTACCAATTGTGTTTGTAAAAATGGCCCTTGGGGGCATTAAAGTGGATGTATGCCCAACAATGAACTTCTCTTATTTGGTCCCTTTTGGTCTGTTAAAAATATAATTGAAAGCATTTTGTTATATCTGTTCTATAAGTGCAGAATATACCTGTTGATCCTGCCAGAAACCTTGCGAGCATTCTTTGCTCTTTGTCGTAGTATTTATCCCAGCTATCTCTGTGGACTACAGAACACTTCCCCTTATATTATGGAGATATGTGACAACAAGGTACAGTAGAGTGCATGAGCGTTGTCACCCTAGGACAGGAAGTGTTACTGGCAGGGTCACCAGGTGAAAATAAAGGGAAAAAGCGTGAAACGAATGCAGCCGCCTCATCTAAGGACTAGTAATCAGCAAAATATTACATTGGTGCTCTTGGCTTTAGACACACTTTAAATGTCAGGGTGTTTCAGAATTAAAGACACCAATAAAATGTAAACCTTTAAAGCAGGTCTGGTGCTGATTGGTAGTAAGAACACATTGATACATAAAGCTCTACTTGGACTTTTACTACCAGGCGCAGCTCACCGATTGGCTACTGGTCAGCTTGAATGTTACCTACCAAACACTGGTGGTTGTTTGCTGGGGCACAGGTTGTGGTACGTGAGGTCGAAGAGGGAGCCCAGTTTTTCGCTCAGGATGCCAACGAAAGCTTCTGTGTCGGAGGAATCCACCAAACGGTCAGAAAATACTCTGCAAGAAGCATGCAATTGTTCAATGTTCAGGCCGGTCACATGATGCACTGGGTGTTCTTCTGCCTTTTCTCCTGCTATCGGCAGTCATGTGAACATCAGCGCCACTCTCTGTATTAATATGCTATGAAGGAAAAGAGTGCTGTGGTGACACCCACTCAGGGGGCAGGTCCATGACCTCCTGCATGACATCCTGCATTCCTAGTATGTCCTCAGTCTTTTGATTGAATTAGATGAGCAGGGTTATTCACAAAGGAGCCAGCTGTAGCTTCGGCTGATCCTTCGGCTCTCTTCGGACGCCGGAGCCTTTTGGTTCAGTCGAACCGAAGGGCTGCTATACGGGCTATTCACAATAGCCCGTACAGCAGCTGAAGGCGGCCTTCTGCAGCTTTGTGAATAACCCCCTATGTGTAACTCAACTTGGAAGACTGAGGACATCTTGTGGCGATAAGGCAGTACTGCGGGGCACAGCTCTGGATTGCAGGTGAATATTGCAGCCTGAGCTGCCTTTTTATTTTTACACTGGTATTGAGGGGTATTTTATGGCTTAAAGCCATTACATTTTGTTAAATTTAGTCTTTAAGCTCACCACACATGTCACAATCTGACTGTACAATTGCCTTTAGATATATACTGTAGTAGAAGGGCCTGCCTGACCGGATGCAAACTAAATGGATAGTTTAAGTAGGTCCTCATATTATATAGTTTTGATAAATTGGCGGAGGGCTACGGTAGTCCCAATATTCAAAAAGGGGGCTAGGTGCCAACCTGGGAACTATAGGCCGGTCAGTCTAACATCGGTAGTTTGTAAAATGCTAGAGGGCATAATAAAGGATTATCTGGTAGAATTTGTTCAGGAAAACGGGATAGTTAATGACAATCAGCATGGGTTCAGGAAAGACCGTTCCTGCCTGACTAACCTGCTAACTTTTTATGAGGGGGTGAGTAGAGATATGGACGGAGGTAAGCCGGTAGATGTGGTATATCTGGATTTCTCAAAGGCTTTTGATACGGTACCACACAAACGCTTGCTACACAAGCTGAGGGCTATGGGCATAGATGAGGTGGTGTGTACGTGGATAGAGAACTGGCTACGGGAACGTATCCAGAGGGTATCTGTAAATGGCACCTTTTCAGACTGGGCTAGTGTAATGAGCGGTGTGCCTCAGGGTTCTGTGCTGGGTCCCATATTGTTCAACTTATTTATTAATGACATC